CATTTTGATGTGGTCTCAACAAGGATTTGGTGGTATGAAACTGTGAACTGGAACTTTGCAGCTCTTTTATTGACCCTCTGCAGCCTCTTCCACACAGATCCCATTTGAAGAAGGAACTGGATCCGCCCAAAAGCTGTCCGTTCTCTCTTCGCTTTATTCCTACAAAAAATAAATAAAAATGTTTATATTAAAATAATTTTTTTTAAACATGTCACAAAAGCAATAAAGCAAATAAATATAGACATATACAAATATTTGTGTACAGGAAATTTGATTTGATCATTTTTTAAATATAGTAACTCGACCATCCCTAACCATACACCCTACTAATACAAAAGAATTCTTACAATTTCTGAAAATTTATCTGTTTTGAAAACGAAATTAACTTAAATAGTTATTGAACCAAACAAAGCATTATGAAATGGCATTATACCCATAAAAAAACAATGCACACGATAAGTCGAAGGGGTCAGTCATTTCTATATTTATGTATTGCAGAATGGTAGGTATTTGCTCCGCCTACCCTCCGGATTTTGCATATTGGCAAGTCTAAGGATAGGCCATGACCGTGCAACTTGATGCACTAATACCCTTTGTCGGTAAATAAAATAACCTTTGTCCGTACATCTCACTTTGTCTAAGATAATCGCGTCTTGGGAATGCGTGAGGAGCAAAAAGCCTTTCTGCGATTTTATCAGAGGAAATATACGTCTTATGACGCTGTCAACTTTATTTTCATTCATTTATACGCTTATTTAAGATATCAGAATCTGAGATATCAGGACGAATAAAAGCCTAAAACTTTTTTTATATAAAATATTTTTATAAAAATTATGATATTAATTTCCGAGAAATTTAAGCTCAAAATAACATAGAGAAAACGTGTATTCATGCCACAATTCATTGTAAATATTACAATTCGTATCAGAAGTGACCGATGGAATGTTCGGAATGAATTACCGCTGATAGCACTGGAAGAGAGCAACTTGGCTGTTTCAAATTATCTAGAAATTGAGTTTCATTCGCTGTGAATAATGAAAGGCACACGGGTTCAATCATTTCTCCAGGTAATATTTACAGAAGGAATTCAAACTCAGGATAGTATTTCAATAACATTTCACCATCGTGCACAACACTATCCGGTAACCCAAAAGCATAAAAATTTCAAAAAGGAAGTAAATACGGAAGCAATTGAATCCCACCCCTGATGGTGATGTCAGTCGTCCTCAATCGGCAACCTTCCATTTAAAAGTGGAGAAGAATTAGACAATTTCTCCTTTTAACGTCCAATTGAGGATTTCCGTTTTGAGAAATGGTCGGAAAACTGCCAAGAATTTGTAAATCAAAACGACCCTTCATGCGTTATTTTTATATTATATAGTCAACTCAGCAAATAAACCACTTAATTCGGATTGAAAGTGCATGGTAATTATCTCGCATGTGTTACGAAAACCGGCCCAGTTCATTTATTTTGTTCTTTTAATAAATTATCGAAAGGTCTTAGGCTTCTAAATAATCAAGTGTGGTAAAATAAATATGATAACATAAAGTATTTTTTTATTTGTTCATTTGTGTGTGTCTCATATAACGACAATGAAAATTTTATAAAAGCCAAAACGAATCAACAATCCGATTAATCTTCTCTCTCCCTAAACATGGCCTCGATATCACAAATAAATTCAAATTTGAAAAAAAAAAAAAAAAAAACAATACTAATTATCGCAAATCAAACTAATTCGTTAGGATGGAATAGTCAGAAATAGTTTTCACTTTAAAAGTTTATACCCTAGGTAACTTTTCATCGGAAAATCCATTTATTCCATCTGGTTCACAAAAATTTAAAATTATATATANATTTATATATTTATAGAGCACGTGTTGTCACGTCCATATTATTGTTACACTCAATTATGCAACTGTGATAGATTTACTCCAATTAAAACAGTATTAATGTGTAATTATTATTTTTGAGATAATGAAATTAAAGCGGAATACGACAAACACGATGAACGTGGAGTTGAACTTTGATTCCAATCACAATTTCCCCTTTCCTTTAATTATCTTATATTTGATAATGTTTGTTTGTTCAAAATGTAAACTATCTAAACACGCAAATAGCTTAAATGTATATCAATTTTTTAAATCGCGTCAACATGATTATTTCAATATGACCCATTTTGGATGTAGATGCAATGAGATAATATTAATGTATAGTCCAAGGTTTCAGAGTTGTCGACACAATCTCCTCTCTAGAGAACAAAGAGTATTTATTGGTTGGGTGCGTTCCTCGATGTAGTACAGGCGTTGGTAAGGGTCTGGCACCCGGGATGCTTCCTAAACTCCAATGCTTCCTATCCACTCATTATCGTGTTCTGAATGCTACCTAACCGACCGCTGCTTTAGAGTGAGATATGGCATCGATTTCTCGGATTTCAGACCGATACAAGTCGGCGTCCCACAAGGGAGCATTCTCCCATCTATTATATCATCTACACCGCTGACTTAGCTCCTCAATACCATCCCAATAAACGTACGATAACGCAATTTTGTCCTCTAACTGGAATCCTACCCAAACTACCTCCAACATCCTAAAACAGCTTGAGCTTATTGAAGACTGAAGCAAAACGTTGGGGGCAAGACTGTATGAAGAACAATTTATTCAGTGTACGTTCGCATTAAAAAAAAGAAGAAAAAATGGACCAAATTTCATTCAAGTCAAATACTTAGAATTACAATTAGGCATCAAAATGACGTGGAATCCACATATAAGACTTAAGAAACAGCAACTTAACAGATGACTTGGACAACTACGAAGACTTCTAGGACCGAAATCGTGTCAACACTAAACTAACCTTACATAAAACTTTAGGGTGATCACTTTGGAAATACGGAAGGGAACTGTGGGGCAGCCATCTAACTTCCAACGCCAAGCATTCCAATCAGAAGCCCCCAGAAGAACTCTCCAAACTCCTTACTCCCCACAATGACCTCAACATTCCTTTTGTCAACAAACTGATCGGTTCCTGAAACTAAAAATCTAAAACCTCTCGATCCTTCCTAGCCCTGATGCTCTTGCTCGTTGCACACATCCCTATCCCGAGAACCTGCCACCCACGTCGCCATCCTTGTCTATTAATCCTTCACACAGGGTGCCAGCATTGGCCGGTAAAGCCAAAACTTTACGATATTTCAATGTAATGAGATTTTTAGCCCCGGCTGAACACTCCTTATTTACATAATTGGTATTAAATATAGTTTGTATTTTTCTCATTTATTTTTTGAAAAATTTCCATACAGCAAATGAGTCAAAGATGCCTTGATTATAATTTAAATTGACGATTGTCGCTGACTTTCGCTGATTTTTTTCACAATTTGGCATGTTTGGGCTTTATAATATCTGGTGGACGTTTTCATAATACACACATTGATCACTGTCCAACTGGGTAATTTGAACAAACATCGCTTATGCCGTACATTTTTAAATATTTATTTATAAAGTACGTTTTGATGTTCATCACATCGGTGCATTCGATTAATTTTAAATACCAGAAAGATCGTTACGTTGGTCGAAAACAAGTTCAGCAGATGTTACAGCCCCTTTCCAACTCCTTTTAATAATCAGGATAAACCTTGACTTTCCATTCAATTTCATTTTGACAAGAATGGATGGAAAGTTGTAGAAATATTGTTAGTAATTAACAAGAATGAAAAGAAAAAAACTGACTCATTTATTTCCTAGGTGAAATGATGAGACGTGCGTTGTCTGGTACGGGGAGCGGTCACGAACAATATCCGTCATGGACAATAAGTAGGGACTTAAAAACGGGGCCTTGGCTCCTTTTATTTATCTCGTGCTTGCAGTTCGACCCACTACTCTCACCAATTCGCCTTAAACATTTTCTCACCTTGAATTACGAAATTAACGTAAAATTCGATTATTCTTAACCTAAATAAGTTAAGGTTCTGTCAAACGCTAAAACGAATAACTAACAACAATGATGAAAATATATTCTATTTACTTGGTTTTGGGTTTGTTCGTACCATCCATTGTCCACCGAAAGCTAAACATTCATAATAAATTAATAACATATTCGATCAATCATTCCCAAACATAGCCAACATGGCGACCTTAGTAATTAAGTTAATTAAGGGTCGTCGAAGTACTAATATTCCACCAAAAACCCTTTCACACTTTAACTTTACGTTAATAGAGGGACGTCGGCGGAATATTCAGTACCCGACGACTCTCTCATGCATCAATCCAGGATCCACCAACATATTTTGTGATTATTTTCATAGTTAACCCTATTTTGTTGCAATGTATGTACTAGTGTGAACAGAACTAAAACGTATGTTGAACGAGTATCGGGAACCATCAAAGAACACTCAAAAGATTTTATACAAGCTTTCGGACTATTTAATGCCTTCATCAGGACTACAGTATATAACGTAAATAAAAACAAATACATAAAAAGGATTTTTTATCGTCCATGTAGGCCTCAGAGATAAAACGATTTCAATCGTCTCTGATCAACAATTTCATTCACCACAACATTCAGAATAATAAAATAGCAATAAAAAATTCTTTTGATGCTATTTATTTTAATTGAAGTTATATATTGTAGTCCTGATAGAGGCTTTAAATAAGCCGAAAGCTCGAATATAATTTTTTGAGTTTTCTTTGATGGCCCCGATACTCGTACAATATATATGATAGAAGGTAGATAAAAATCACATCATAAGTAATAAAATTGAAAATAGGTTTTCCTTCATAAGATTAAATCTGTACTTTTATAATATATTTGTTATACTTTCACATAGTGGTCCATTCAATACAAAGTACACATTACGATCTCTTATTTTAGTTCAATATTAAAAAAAGTTTATTTAAACCAGTCGAATATCTTTTTTGTGAATGTATTTTTTTGAACAAACATAAGAATGGAAACCAAGTAGAAAGAATTAGGCTTGAGTATTAAAATATTCAGAAAACATGATTCTGTAGTTTTCTAATTGTATTTTATACTTTGATGTGAAATTAATGCATTCGTGCATTGCATGCAAGACAGTTAATAATTTTATTAATTTAGAAGAAAATTCGAACTGGAGTCGTTTTGACCGACTTTTGATAAGATAAGGATTACAAAACATAAGTTTAA